CCACTGTGACAGGCTCTTCAGGCACACTGGTACCACACCAGACAGAGCCAAACACCAGTTCACTGAGCTCTGTGTCTTTTTTACTGTAATGACTTATGACTCAGGTGACATATTCATGAGCTCACTATCGTGCCAGGCAATCAAGGAAGACGGAGCCACTTGATGCTGGTGGCAGGGACCTGGTAAGCACCACAGTACAGCAGAGGTTTGTTTAATCCAGAATAACACTTTCACTCTGGTGTGCTTGATAAACATGGATCAGTGGTCTAAACTTAGCAGACCCTTGTTCAGGACCAAACTAGCTGCTCATCAAAGTCTTTTTCTGAGCAGCAGAGAGAAAACAGAATTCTTCTGCAGCCTGGGGGATTCAGAGACCATTGTTTTACTTCCCATTGCTTGGAGCAGACACAGAACAATGCTGGCAACATTGCAGCATGACCACACACAAGGCTAACCACATTCTTAAGTTACAGTTGTAGGCTAGAAAAGAGTTATCCTAACCCATTTAGATTTAAACATCCCCATGTAAGTCAATACAGGACGTGGCATTAGAATATGGAACAGTTTAGAGTTCAGTCCATCTTGAATAGCTGGCATAGCCTTCAGTGCCTTAAATGAAAAAGCTGTTTAGCACATTAGTCTATCTGGCCCCAAGTAATTTTACTGAAGTTTGATCACTTTACAAGTTTCCGCTCATATGTAAAAGAATGCAAGAACAGTCTGTGTAAGCTACCTTAAAGTCTCCTGTAACTTGGAACTCATAGTTCAGGCAAAGGCACTGTTAGAGCAGCAGTCCAACTACTGAAACAGAAGGTCCTGAGGAGACCAAGTACCTTCCAAAGCTGAAGTCACCTCCAGCAAAGAGGTCCACTGAGCATCTATCAAAAATTATTTTCAAGGGGAAGGAGTGTCATATTTCCAAGAAGCAGAAATCTGTTTCCAAGACACACTGGATATTTTCCAGAAAGCAGCATCCAGGGAAGTCACAGATAAATGGCAGACAAAATGCAAGTGTGTTTTGACTACCTCTTTATGATCTGTTAATAGAACACTGAGTGAGACAAAAGAACCCTTAAATGTACACAGGCTGAAAATACATTTTCTTTTTTCAGTTTTCAAGGACATAGCTCTAAGCCTTACAGCACAACACATTTACTGTTTTACAAGAGACTAGTTTTCCCTCGAGAAATGTATGGTTTGTTTTGTCACTCTTTAATCTATCAGCAGCATAGGGAAGTCGGTTTTCAACTATTTTCCAAAAATGAAATTTCTATAAGGTCCTCAGACTCACAGGTCATGATACTTTCACCTCAAGCACACTATAGACCACAGTGTGTGCATCAAGTACTTGATCATTAACCAAAACCTCACCCAATGCACATGTTAGGTTTGGTCAGTACTCCTGCAGCTGGGATATGCCATCACCAAACTCACCATGAGGCAAGTGCCAACAGACCATGATTATAACCCCATCCTCTCCTCACCCATCTCCTTCCTGGCATAGCTGAACTCCCTGCAAGCACTGCAGCAGGACACAGGATCACCACAGAGACAAATCTGTAAACAAATCACACAACAGTAGCCATGGCCAGCAGTGGATCCTACTGCCATGGCACAGACATGCCACTGCCCATCCATTGACTTTCATTGCCACTTCACATCCTGCCGTTGCGAGGCAAGCCAGGTCAGCTCACTTACCTGGTGAAAGTGCAACCTGGCAGAGAAACCACATTTGTCAGTTTACTCAATCTCACTGTAGCAGCCCAAGAGAGCAGTTTTACTCAACAAGGCAGCTTGGCACCCATCCTCCCTCTACCAGTGACACAAGGCTGCTGGATGAGCAGTGGCCATGAGAACACTGCCAACAGCTACTGAGCAGCAGAGTTTGCACCTAGGATGTGCCAGCTGCAAGCCTGGGTGCAACTTGGCAGGTCTCACCCCAAAACCATTTGCCAGGCTTCAGCCACCCAACTCTTCTGTTTCTAAGCTACATGAGTTGACTCCTATTACCAGTTACCAGGGTTTCTAGGGACAAGCTCAATGCCAAATTAGCTTTAACTCCCCTTCCTTCTCTGCTAAGCAATCTGCGGAGTCTGTGATCAGCCACTTCAACCAAGAGAAAGCCCTTGTGCTCTACATTCCTGGCATCCTACTCCCAATGCCTGTCATGCAGCATGCCACTCAGCACCCAGGAATTTGCAATTATCTCAGTCTAGCAGACAGAGAAAAAGGCTAGACTTAACACTTGTTAACACTTGAGCAGCACAGCAGCCACCTCACTTTGAGCAGAAGGCTATGTGAAGTCACCTGCTCCCACAGCAGCTTTTGCAGAGCATTCACTCCCATCTTCGCTGGATGGCACAAAGCACCTATGTGCTTCATGGTCTTTTTTACAGTAGATCATACATGCAGTCAATTTTGCATTGAAGTGAAGACACTTCATGCCTGGAAGAAAAGCTTCCTGAAACTAGCAAAAGACTTTGAGCAGAGACTAAACAAGGGGTAACAGCAGCAGGAGGGGTTGGGCTTCTAATGTGCATCCAGAAAGGGTTGTGGTCAAACACTGTGCATAGGCAGACTTATTTTAAATAAACATTGAATGCCAAAACCTTGCTACTGAAAAGGTTTTAAAATGTGGTTGTAGTACAGCAGCGGTAGCTGAGCCATAACACATGGCTTCCAAAATGTTCCTGGAAGTTAAATAATAACTGGAACAGGCACTGCATCCACTTAGCAGAGGTCTGATGGCATTATTAATGCCAGAAATCCAGCAGGCGCAGCTGTCAAGTTTCCCCAGCTGATTTGGCTCAGAGTTGGCCCTAAATACCCCAGGCCCTAAAGACCAACCTGGTCATAAAAGTTCTCCACCTAGAATCTTTACTAGTTTGGGGGTTTTTTTACTTCACCTCCAGGGTCTGCAATGACCATGGTTTTGTTCAACAACACAAAAGAGACTAAACAGTAGAAACAAAAAGAAAGCCTCAAGTTCTTCAGAACCCACAGGGAAAAACACACCAGGGGCAGGTAGTGATCCCAGAGGACGCTGCATCTGCAGGACAGGTGCTGAGGGCTTCGGCTCTTCAACCCAGCAGAGCACTGCAAGGCTCACTCAGAATGTCTTTTTTGGAAAGGACATTCAGAATGTTTTTTCAGGACAGGCTCAGTTTATCCAGGACTGTACAGTAGGGCTCCTGTGCTACTCCTTGGCTCCAGCTCAGGTGGCAGAGTACTGATGGAGCTGTACACTCCTTCATGCAGAGGCTGGGACATGGCAAAAGCATTAGTAGTCATAGTCATTCCATTCTCTCAAAGCTTCAAGTTTTCTCAGGGTTTGGTTTTTTAAAATTTTATTTGGTTTTTTAATAACCAACACAAAGAAAGTAAGCTGTAAAACAAATAGACATGTCTTAAATGATTACAGATACCATGCAGCTCAGCCTAACAGTGTAAAGATGTGCTGCTGCAGCAGGATTTCTAGAAGGGAAGTCACTGAAAGCCAGACCTGACTGGAGTAGCCTTGATCTCCCAAACCCGTCACCCTCGGGAAGTTCCACAGACAAAGAGGAAGACAGTTGGAGCAACATTTTTCTAGGGAAAACAATACAATAGGAGGGGAGTGCTGGCCTGGTGTTGGAGCTAGTCCAGCACCTGCCACAGAAAGGTGAGCTCTGATGTTAGGAAAAGCTCAGCCCAGGAATCAGCAGCTGCAATTCGAACCCCACTGAGTGCAAAGGGAATCCATCTCTAAGTAAATAATTAGCACCAGCTTCATTCCCAGCTGCAAGTTAGCTGTTCTGCCCAGGGAGGACAATCAGCCACTCGGGACCAACAGTCCTCACTTTTTGTCCAAAGCTGCTTTTACACAATAGCAGAGGGGAAGAAGAGGGTACCCAGCTACAGGTTTCCAGAGCGGGCCAGGTCTCCCCCAAACTGAAGAAGTTTATATTTTCTTGCTATTGTAGTTAAAGCCTTTGAAGAGAAACAGCTTTTATCTTGGCCAAGCATTTTAAACAACTGAGAGCTACACTCTACAAATTCAGCTGTGCAATTCATCGAGGCCAGAATCATCAGGAAGCAGCAGTTATAGTTATCTGGCAAAGAGCAAGAAAATGCATTCACATTCCTTCCCAGAGATCTCTCAGGCATTCAAATTACTGCTTTACAGACTATGTTGCGGCCACACCTGAGCTATTCCCCAAACGGTCACCGAATGCATTCCTGAGGGATCATCCGCAATCCGACGTGCATGCCAGCAGCCTTCGTCTCCAAACTACCAGCTATCAACCAACTGCACGTTCCAATATGGCACGGGCAGGCAAATCTCATGCCAGCCTGGGTGGCAGTAGCTCAAAGCACCCATTGCCTGGGTTTAGCAGCGTTCCTTGAACACTTCCTGCCGTAACTTATCACAGCAGAAAGACTGGGGAGAAAGTACAATCCTGCTCAAAAGCTGCAACTGTGCTTAGGCATCAGTGCTAATCTGAACATTGGCATCATCTACTGGGCTGTGGTGAGCAAAGTCTCCCCACACTCCTATACTACCTACGGCTGCAGCTATTTCTGCACAGCCGTGAGAGTCTGGCTCCAGCACCGTGCCGGAGCCCAGGTACGCCCAGCTAGAGCAGCATCGTCCTGCCGCATACTCCTGCCGGGCTGCTGGAGGGGTCAGTGCCCAGAGGAACTGGCTGCACAGGGAGAGAATACACCCCGGCACTAGTTTCCTGGTTTCTTCAGGAAAGACCTGAAAGCAAAGTTTCACCTATGAAGTAGTGATAATGAGGGACGCTGAGGAGGACACTGCCAGCCCCGACAGCCGGGCTGTGGGGCAGCCCCACGGCACACACAACTCTTTAAAAACAGAAGCAGCAAAAGCCCCCCATCAGCTTCTGAGCCCCCACTGCCCTGAGCCCCGTCATAGCTAAGCCAGGCAAAGGTCCAGCGCAGGAAAACACACAATTAAACGAGAAAACAACAAAACGGCCCGCCGGAGACGCACTCACCGATGGAAACCAGCTTGATGCTCTCCCGCTCCAGGAACTCCAGGGCCACCGAGACGTTCTCCAGCTGCATCTGGCGGAAGGTGGGCCGCTGGTGGTACTTGCGGTACATGCGCTTCTGGCTGAGCACCTCCAGCAGCGCGATCAGCCGCAGCCCGTCGCTCAGGTCATGCTGCAGGTTGCCGATGCGTTTGTTGACGCAGCGCAGGTGCTCGTTACACCAGCGGGTGAAGGTGTTCTGCTGGATCCGCTTCCAAGGGGCGTCCTCCGCCAGGTCCTTCTCGGTGGCGGGCATCTCGCCGTCGGGATCCGCCGCTCTCCGCGCGCCTTGACCCCGCGCCTGCGTGCTCATGGCTAGCCCCGCTCCGCCTCCTCGATCCGCTGTGCTCCGCCCGTGCCCCGCCCGACCGCCTGCGGGGAGGGAGGGAGAGAGAGAGAGTGAAGAGCGCCGCGCTCAGCGGAGGCCTCTCTCCTTTTCCTGCTGTCGCTGCTACCGCTGCCGCCTCCTCCGCTACTCAACCCACTCGCTCTGCTCGGCCCCGTGCCGCCGCCCGGCCTTTATCCACGGGGAGCGGCACGCCCTCCGCCCCATCAACCCCGCGCCCCGCCGCACCGGCCCGCAAGGGCCGGCCTGGGATGGGATGGGCGCGGCTCGGCTCGGCCTGGCCTGGCCTGGCAGAGCCCTTGATGGACCGGGGACCACCCTGGGCCGACACTCACCTGGCCGAGGTGCCGGGCGGGCTGGGGCGCGGCCCCCAGGCACGGGCAGGAGCGCAGCTGGCCTGGCGCTAGTGCCCGGCCTGGGTGCAGCCCCCTGGCTCTACAGACAAATTAAACCCGCAGCAGGAACAGGAGCGAAGCCCCCCACCCACCCGCACACCCCCACCACAGCGGTACTCAGGCGGCACAGGTCAGGCCGCCAGCCGTGTGACGGCCGTGGGTAGATGCAGCAACGGGTGGTGACCTCTCGCCGGGCCTGCAGAGCTGTGCAGGGTGGCCGGCAGAGCCGGGGCTCCGCGCTCGGGGGATTCGGTTCTGCACAGCCCGCGCCGGGAGAGGCTGAGGGTGCTCCCACGGGGTGCGATGTGGCTACGGGACGGCAACCTCTGTGCCAATACATGATTTTATCGGCCATTTGAAAATAATAGAAACCTCTAAAAGTAATCAATTAGGGTTCGAATTCTTGGGGGGGTTCTTTGCTTTTCCCCCCACTTTTGTGACTGATTTCCTGGCGTGCCACTCCCTGCTGACATACAAGACTGTGACTTGCCGCTGACTCATTTGATGACAACAGAGTCAATAGAACGACTCCAGCTGCCTTGCTGCATACTGAATTTTTGCAGGTCGCTGAGGCATCTCACGACACTTACAGGGTCTCTGAAAGCTGCAGTGAAGTGTCCCTGCATGTCCCTATCCCGAGGGAAGCCTGTGCCCACCCACTCACCCAGCACGCACTTACAGTCTTGGCTTTGCTACCAGGAGCTGCTCCACTGATTCAAGCGAAGTGTGTGCCTGTTTACCTATTTACATCAAGGCTGCCACTCTGAAAGGTGCAGGTGTCTGTCAGAGAAAACAAATCCATTAAAATACAGTCAATAAAGTCTTATTTAATTAAATTACTATGGTCATTCTCAGCTAGAAAATTAGAATACAGATGTCCAATTACTTTCTTTCAAGGGTGTTATTCTAATGCCTCCACTAAACCATCACACCATGTTTCTCTCCAGTGACCTAATAGATCCTTCCCCCAGAATAATTTATATTACATGCATTTGTTGACAATAAATTAAGAAAGACGAAAATATGAAGGTGAGGTAATGTGGGAGTTATGTCTAAACTTCCATTGTTCCCTAATCAGCATTGCCTCCTGTTTTAAAACTATCAAAGAAATCAGAGATCAGATTTGGTATACTGAAATGTTGAAGTGTATCTCATGGCACAGCAACCACTGCCCTTTCCTCAAATTACTGAGCCAAGCAGCAGGAAGCTGCTTTTATTATTCAAATAAAAACTGACATTAAGTGAGAGCTTTTATTTACAGACCAAAACCACCGACAGTGCATAGAGATGCTGCAGCCAGGGTAGGTTGTGCCTCTGCGAGCAGCTCTCTGCTGTCAGCGCAGGCTTGTCCAGCCCAGGGGAGAGCAGCCTGGAAACATGGAGCTGAGCCTTTTCTCAAGGACTTTTCTCCCATCATCCTGTACTTCATGTTTTAATAGATACTAATTGCTTATTGACTTTGGCCTGGGCTGGGACTCCTTAGCAACCATTCCACATCCGGATTAGCTGATTGCTTATAATATTTTAATTTCCATTCCTTTTCACTGCCACACCTAGTAATGCACACTCTTCAATATAATTTTGTGCCTGTGCCATGCTGCAAGTTGAAGCTTCAGCCATTGTTTTTTCTGTAGCAAAGGTAGTGAATAGGAATTACGGAGGAAAAAGACAGAATTAGTACTAGGACCTCTATTTTTAACTTACGCATTTTGCTAAAATTTTCAATAAAGGTAATTTTTTCCATAGACCCAGCAAACAAAATTTTCATCCCAGTGATATACTGTGCAATGACATGCTCTGCAAACATAAGGACAGTGGTTTCTTTGAGTGGTTTTCCACCGCTCCATCCATCCATCCATCCATCCATCCATCCATCCATCCATCCATCCCACCAGAAGCACTGAGGCACAAAACCAGATGTGAAGTGCTCAGCAAAGCTCTGGCACAGACATGCAAGCCCAGCTCACCCTGTCAGACTCAGGACAAGGGCAGTGGCACTGTTGAGGCTGTTGCTGTTGGGACCATGCAGGGTTGGTGGGGTGCTAGTGGTCTGATTGCAGCAGCATCCCAGCTGCCCTTCCCTGCACATCACAGGCCTTTTGATCCGAATTCAGTCTTTTGCATCCTGGCTGCTTTCATGATTATTGGGAAACAAAGACTGCTTTATGGGAAGAGAATGAAAAAAGCAAAATAATTTCTGCTCTGAGGAACAGATCTTGTTTCATTCCTTTCTTCCCAGTCACAGATGACCCTCACAGCTACAGTCTGATCAAGATTTCTGCTTGATAGGAAGTGAAAAGGAGCAGCCCCTTCCTGCATGGCACCCCATTGACTGCACAGGTGACTGAGATCAGGAGAGGTGCCCTGTCTGGGACCTGCCTGGCCACAAATGTGATATCCAGCTGTGGCAGCAACTGCAGGGCTGGGCATCAATGCTTGGTCTCATCTACCGATGAGAGAGTCCCTCTGTACTGCTCTGTCATCAGATTCTTCTTGGGGTCATATTTGACATGAAAAACTGTATTTATTTCCTTTGAAATGAAGTTGGAAGACAGTTTAACACAAGTGAACCCGTGTTTCAAGTTTCATCAGGAGACAGAGAAGTAAAAATAAGCTAACCCATGAATCTGTACTTGCTGGAATACCATCTTGGTACTGTATATTATTACAAATTAACTTATGTATGCCTTGCAGAAATACCTTATCTGCATATTTATATGGGTAGATATTTGTGTTGATGTATGTATTTAGGCAGAAAGAGAAGGAGATTTCAATACGATGCTCTGGGGTAGATACCTTTTTCTTTTGATTTATCCTGTATGACAAGGATCTTTCCATTCCATTTTGCCTTTACTTGCTAGATGCAGATACAAGGAAGGAACACTGTCATTGCTTTCTTGGTTCTCTTTAAGCAGTTGTACACAGCAATGATTTTTTTTACTGTTTTAAAAATACTCTTCCTCTATGGTAATTCACTGCAAAGCTGAATTTAAAAAGACCCTGTTTCATTCAGTAGCAGAGGGCTTCCTCTGCCACATACACACTGATTTATCATGAAACTGCTCAGAATATTTTGTATTTGAAAATACAGCCCTGACAAATGGAATAAACTGTAATGGCAATTCATTATAGCATGCTCTATTTTTAGCAAGAAGTCACTGCAGAATGTCTTTCAAACCAGAATATAGCATTAAGCTCTCTGAATTCACAGGGAGTTGCTTTTCTGGCAGGATTAAAAAAAAAATTAAGAGCACAGTTTAAACTGTAAAGGTAAATAAAGGTTGGCTGGCCTTTGCAGGTCTGTTGCTGCTCTTTTTGGGATCATTAACAATCCTTAATGGAAATTTAATCTCATTTATCATATCCTCAGGGGCCATGGAATGGTACCATGATGGACACTTGCCATTAGTTTTTTTGAGCATACTAACAGCAGAGGGAAATGGCAGTTCTAACAGTGGCTGTTTCATTGAGGAGAAGTCTGTTGAAGCCTGGTTTTGCAAAAGCAGAAGGGTGTGGGGTGTGGCAGCATGGGCCTTCGCTGACATCAGTGAACAGCACATGATGGGGTGACTACAGAAGTCAGGTCTGTTTCAGGGTAATCAACTTATGACAGTCTCATGTGATGGTATGTTCTTGGAATCCTCCAAGTCATGGGCCCTACATGAGAGATCCCAGCCATTTGGGACACTGTACATGCTCTCTGCTTGACACATTGTTCAGCAACAGATTGCTTTGATTGTAAGAGGACAAGAATCGGAATTAATCTCAACTGTTAATCCAACATCTGCACACTTTGCTTAGAGCAGGAATCAGCCATGGCTGAGCATTGAAGATGAGTCTTTGCAGGTAAAAGGACTTGTCTCTGCCCTGGCAGGTCGTGCTTTAGTTATCACCTCTCTGAGGATCTCTGCAACAGAAATGTCACCTTTTAAAGACTTCAATGGTGCTGCTAATACACGAGGAGCAATGACATTTTTTTTCCCACACTACAACTAACCCCACACAAGTGACTTTGAAGATGCATCAGAAATGTGTGATGAAAAGCCAGCAGGATGCCTCCATCTTTTCCAAAGGTTTCTGTCAAAGCAGCAGCACACTGGAGGTTTGTACCCTGGGGCTGTCAAACTTGTGAGTTGTCAGGGCAAAGGCTTGGAAAAAGAATAACTGGGCTATAGCACCCGGGTAGCTTTAGAAATTTATCAGGAGATTTTAAATATTTATAATTTTTTTGGCACATAATAGCCTTATCCAAACACAGGACAGCATTGTGCATTAAAACAAAAGCCATGCATAACAAATGCCGTAAAATAAATTGTAGCACATTCAAACCAGTGTGCAGATGCTAATCCTCACATCCCCACAGGGCAGCTCATCCGCTAACCCAGCAGCCAGCCAGTAACGCTAAAGATCCAGCAGCTGCGGCTCACAGTAGTTAAAGGTTTGCCTTTTCTGAAGCCACAGGCGCTGTAACTCAAAGGGATTTCATGACTAAGTGACCATAAATGGCATTGCTGAGCAGTTGGCAGCACCGAGCTCGGCATCACAGCCGGGTCCTCCCAGCCTCCCATGTCAAAGGTTGCCAAACACACTGCACATTTCCTTCACCCGTTACCTATTTACTGGGTTCTGAAAGACAAGAGAAGTGTTTCTTCTCAATTGATGAAGTAGACATTAAACCTCTCCTTTTGTTACCATGATCCCTACGAAGTGAAGCCAAACCAAGCCGTTCAAGTCAAAGCATGAATCAAATGGATTGCATCATATGGATTGCATTTTCCTTATTCAGCAGCTCTATGGAAGGCAAAGAAGCTCTTCATTATACAGATATTGGCTAGGACCTTTGACACAACTTGTTCTGAGTTTTTCCATCTTCTGTTTCCTCCTCTGTTATCCAAGGAAGACAGCAATATGAGAGGCTGCAGCAGCAGTTCAGTCCAAATCAGACAGAGGGATGTCTTTAGGCAGAGAAATCTCTAGAAATATGCTGAAAAATATAACTTGTTCTAGAAATTGCATTGAAATTTATATTTGGAAAGTCTATTCAGGCAACAGTTGCTTCTAGTAGCAGTTGTGTCTGGGGCAATTTTCATCTCTCTGTGTCTAGAAGAACATGGTTTTACTTCTGCACAGAGTTCTTGCTGCATTATATATGTGTATATATATGTCTTGCTGCATTATGTATGTATCCAGAAGCTGAAACTGGTGCCAAAAGCAGCATCCATCTGACAAACACAGTGTTTTGCCAGAACTTGTAGTGCTGCCTTTGCCTTGAGTCCCAGGGAGACCCACAGCTGGAATTTAAAGGTCTGTTTTTGACACAGGTTGTAAACAGCCCAAAAGTAAGGCTGCTTGTGCTTTTGGCTATCTTGAAATCAGAGGAGAAAACTAAACTGAAATCCATCTAGCACATACTGAAAGAGCAAGGACAGGGCATTCCCTGGGAGTGTCCCATGCAGGAATTCACCTAATTTATTTGTCCAAAATACCCTTGCTGCTTGTTCCCATGGAAATGTTATGAAGTTCATCTATCTCTTTTTCTTGGTTCATCTATTTTTCTGACTGATAAACTGCTGCAGGGTGTTTAATTTTACTTCTGTTTTGTGAAGCTGATTTTAAATGAAAAAACACATACTCACAGCCATGTATAAGCATCTCTCTTTGCAAAATCCAGACAAAGTTGTGTTGGTACCTGAGGACAATGCCTGGCAGTGCAACTGTCCCTACGGCAGTGCCTGCTCTCAGCCAGAACCCCTCACCCCGCCCCCAGCACCAGGAATGCG